GGATTTGGGCAGTAAGGTCAGCACAATCTGTGGCGATGTTTTCACGAGCGAGGAGATGGCTGACAACTCCACGTACGTACGGGCTAGAAGGGAAACTGGGAATCCTGGACCAAAACAAAGTGGAGGCGATTATAGGTAGTGCCTTCTTAAAAGCTGAAAACACCCGACAGATTAATTTTGGACTTAATATTGCACTTTGGACAAATGTTTGTAGCCCTTTACAGCTCATACTTACAAAGTTGATATTTTGTGGAAACCTTCCCTGGCACATAACGGACCATAATGACACCCAGCGGGGGTCGTCACGCGTCATTGAAAATCGAAAAATCTGTAGATGTTTTTAAAAAATCTGAAGATTTTCTGGAAAATCTGAAGATTGTTTCAAAAAATCTGAAGATTATTTTCAAAAGTCTGGGAAAATCTGAAGATTTTTTCAAAGAATCTGAAGATTTTTCAAAGAATCTGAAGATAGTTTCAAAGAATCTGAAGATAGTTTCAAAGAATCTGCAGATCTCTTTGAAAAATCTGAAGATTGTTCTGAGATTGGTTTCAAACATTGTGATCTTGAAACTTATGTTGGAACTTCTTTTGATACTGATTATCATAGCATGTGTGAGTTTTGACTTAGGACAAATTGTATGATCCCCCAAAAAAGCACTTCAGCACTGAACATCTCATGATGTTGATGATCTCATGATGACAAGATTGTACTGAACCATCATGCTTGCATTGTCAGGGTATATTACAAATCTTGTGGTGGAATGCCAGGCTTATTGAATACAAGTGAATGCCACTCCAGAAAGTGTAAAGTACATGTCTAACATGCGACATTTGCACAAATGCAGCTTAATTGCTTTTTGAGTTTAGATTTAGGCCAGATGATGGGAGGACATGTTCTTTACTTTTCCTGAAGCATGGTGGATTTACCCCATTTATGGTCTGAACCTATGTCTGTGGTCAGTTTGTTGTGATTATGTACATTACCATTTGTTCCTTCTGCAACATTACCAAGCTTTAAAAGGTGTAAATCCCAACTATCATTTTCACATCAGTAATGGGTTAATCCTGGACGTAGAATTTTCTAATATGATAGTTGCACAACTGTTCCGAAAATGTCATCTAGGTTTTCCTGATGGAAGATGCGATGGTTGTAGGATTGTTGAACAACACCCAAGTATTGCCATACACAAAAACCTGGTCTAGAGGTTTTCTGAATGGTTATCATACATAAAGGCCAGTTGAGAAGATTTTGTACTGTTGACATGAAAAGTAACCTGATGTTAGTTAATTGTAAGCTTCTTTCACATACATGTACTAGGTTTTGTTTCAAGTCACACAGAACAAAATCTTATATGAGTTGGGATATACATATTGATTGTCTTAGGATAGAAAGTTATAGGACAGTTGTGCATAAGTACCAGTTTCATGTATTGGAAATTTAGTTGTCTTCTGTGGAGAAAATGTTGAGTACTTTTGACCTTACAGAACCTATAATGGGATATAATGTAGGGTCGTAACAACTTTCTTCAAATATTGATAATCAAGAAATTAGATCAATGTGCCTTGATCATATCTTCTTTTAAATCATTAGTCAGCAGAATGGGCATGATAATGCTTGAGTCTAAGATCCCGTTCATACCAGACTTTTACAAACCGGTTGAAACTGCTAAATAATTAGCGAAGAAAAACCCGGTTAAAACCCTTAGCGTTCATACCAGACTTACATAACCGGTTTTGTAAAAAATCCTGTCCGGTGAATATCCAATAATCGGCCATGACTGATTAATTGGCCGCTCTTCCGATTGTTGTCCTTGCCTTTCTTGTATGGCTGTCCTCAGGTTCTTTACCTTACTGCAGCACTGATCCTTCATCTTCGAGAAAACAGGCTCCTCCAACATTTTTTGTTTCGGTAGAGCCCCCCCACCCCCCAGCTTTTTCGACTTCGGCGACTACTGCTCTCCAGAAATAAGTATCAGGAACGTCTCGTCCGCCGAGCAGGTTGCGTATGTTGATTCCATCCCAAAATGAAGAGAAATCGTGGGAAAACAGTGTAAACGAACTCAAATTGGTCAAAACAACGCAATCAAAAAAGCTTGGAGGTCGCACACGGCCAGGATGTTGACCCCGTGACCCTGGAATTATGACGGAGAAAACTGGTTTAATAAACCCTTAGCATTCAGACCAGGTTTTTCGGTGGAAAAAACCCTCAAAAACCCCTGAAAAAACACCTCCCGAGGTGGTTTTTGAAAATCGGATATAAACCCCTAAAAAACGACTTGAAACCGCTAAATATAAGTCTGGTATGAACGGGGTGTTATTGTCCTCACGCCTTCTCTGTGAGGCGCAGCAAGCCATTTAAAATTCACTGTAGATTGTAGCCAGTGACTTCAATTCACTGTTTAGCAGATTGCCCCCACATCATGACAGAGTGTTCAAGGTCAGGAGACTAGTTTTGCCATGAAAACAAAACAACATCCCAAAGAAGTCACTTCTAAAGCCTTATACATAGAACAACTTGTTGCCAGCCTTCCTGAATTTACCGTTAAGCATTGCCAGGATCCCCCGTGTTAACAGCATGCATTCCATGCAGCATGTGATTGATAAACCATTAGCATTACATGTTGCAAGGATGTACATGTACCTTCTGAAGGTCCTCTTATTGTTCATGCATATTGATGGTTTTATACAGCAGCCTGGTTACCAAACTTATTTTAGCTGCTGAGTTTCATTCCTCCTCTCTACAAATTGGCTAGGACTACACGTCTACAAAGAAGGACATATTAATTCGCTCATTAATTGGTACATCCAAGCAGACAAAAGCCAAGTTATCAGGCTTGTGATGTCAGGAAAAATGTTTGGTTTGAACTTTGTGTCAGGATCTAGGA